GGGAAAGAGGATTGGAATGGTTATGACAATATACAGGATGGAAAGTTAGGAGAGAGAGGAACTGAGCAGAGAGGGGAGGAGAGAGCGTGGGAGTGGGAGAGTGGAGAGAGCAGAAAAGCGTAGGAGCAGAAGAAAGGTTATGTAGTGAAAGAAACAGAAGATAGAGTTAAGAAAATCAGGAAGATGAGGCTATGAATGCCTGTCCAACTTAGGATGGTGGGAGGATTTTTCAGGAAGCAGTGATCTTCTGTTAAACTGCTTCCTGAGGCAGAGAAATATTGGATAGCAGAGAAGTCCTTCACAAATTTTCTATAATTAAAGGGATACTGCAACTTATTATCTAGTTAGTTGTTTGTTCTAAAGAATTAAAAGTAGCTTAACTGTGGTTTGACAAACTACATGGTCTTTAAAAATATTTTCTCTTGTGTGAGAAACCCACCCAAACTGACTGTCTGACTACAGAGGAAGCAGGGAGGATGATACTATCAGAGAAAGACAGTGAATAAACTGCAAAATAGAGAACATTCTTTAATTTTTTTTATTACAAGTATCTTAGACATAATATGCATAAAATAAAAACAAAGAATTTAGACAGAAGTATGACTTTTGTTTTAACTTGATTTCTTTTTCAAAAAGGTTAGGCAAATGTAGGTAGTGTAAGAGTGAGACCTGATAAATATTGTCCTGCATTCAAAAGTTTGTCTAACTTTATCCCAACTAAATAGTTGGCCCAATGAAAGATATCACCCTAAGAAATCTTGCCTTTATTCAGATATAGTGAAGAAAGGAATAGGGTTTTTATTAGGGATGGACCGATAGAGAATTTTTGGGCAGATACCCGTGGCCAATTTTTAATGAGCCATATTGGCCAGTACGCATCTGATTCTGATATGCAGCCGGGCAGCATAAAGAGCAGTGTCTGTCTGGTAAGTCTGTTGTGAGGGAAGGAGTAGGATGGGGGGGCAGATTGAGGCCCCCATTGTGAGGGAGGGAGTGGGGCTGGGGCAGGGGCAGGTGCTGCACAGCCAGGGCAGGGTGCAGGATGGAGCTGCAAGTGGCTTGTCCAGTGGGTGTTGGGGGGGGCGGGGGGCAGCTCCCACTGCATGCACCCCAGAGGTGGCACAGGGGGGCGTGTGTCTCTGGATCTGCATGTGGTGAGGGCGGACTGTCAATGTGGGCTGGGGCCGGGGCGTCACTGAGCTCTTCCAGGCAGGGGGTTTGGGATGGGTCTATGCTAAGGGTGGGTGGCGGTAGCACTGGAAAGGGGCTATGGGGAAGGCTGCAGCCATCCCAAAATTTGCTGTAGCCCTGCCCAACTCTCCCTCCCAGCGCTGCTGCCACCTGCCCCAAGCACAGCCCAGCTCAGCCCCACCTGGAAATTGCTTGGCACAGCCCTGGTCCCAGCCTGCAACGGCAACCTGCCCTCACCCCATGCCCACATCTGGGGGCACATGCCCCCCCATGCTCTCCTGGGCTGATGCAGCAGTGGGAGCTGTCCCCCCACTCCCACCGGATGAGCCACTTGTGGTTCCGTCCCCTATTCTGCCCTGGCTGTGCAGTGCCTGCCCCTACTCCAGCCCCAGCCCCACTCCCTCCCTCACTGCTGGGGCCTCAATCTGCCCCTCATTCCCAGGTCCCTTCCCTCACAACAGACTTCCCAGCCAGACTCGGCTGCCCTCCATGTTGCTGGGCTGTGCTCTTGGCCGCCTGAGTGCTGCACTGTGGCTGTGCACATGCACGGGGCATTTATTGGTGGTGTTATTGGTCACATCAGCCGAAAAAAGCCGATTGCCGGTACAGTCAATTTTCCTTATATTGGTGCTGATCCGATATGGAACCAATGTATTGGTACACCTCTAGTTTTTATCCTTCTTAATAACGAGAAAAACAGTAATAATATTATTGAAACAACTGTGTAGGTGTAGAGCAGGGGTGGGCAAAATACAGCCTGCAGCCTGGATCCAGCCTGCCAACAGATTTAATTTGTTGCCGACTCGTTGGATCTGGCCCATGGGTGGCTGGCAGCTCCGGCTGCCACATGGTGCTGGGCAGGCAGGTGGGATCAGCCCTTGACACGGTGGCATTAGCTGTGGACCTGGGCGGCTCCGCTGCAGTGGGTGGATGGCAGTGTCAGCTGTGGACACTGCTAGCTGGTTCAGGAGCCCAGACGCAGAACCTGCTGGCAGCATCCACAACTGATGCTTCTGGCCTTCCAGTGCAGTGGAAGCTCCCACCTAGAGCCCTGACTTGGAACCTGCCAGCAGCGTCATCTGTGGAGCCTGGGACCTAGGCAAGAGCTTCTGCTGTGCCGAGTGGGGGTCAGCATCAGCTGTGGCATTGCCAGCAGGTTCTGCATCGTGGCCCTAGAACCTGGTGACTGTGCCCACAGCTGATGCCACAGCTTACTTGCCCCAGTGGAAGATCCCATGTGGGTCCACAGCTGAGCCTTAGAGCTCCTGGTGACTTATAGTTCTGGCTGAGTTCTGGAGAGGGGGAGAGAGAGAAAAGAAGAGAAAGACAAAGAGAGAAGGGAAATGGAGACAGAGACGAATGTGGCCCTTGACAGTTTGCCAGAACTCATTAAGTGGCCCTCCAGCTGGAATAATTGCCCACCCCTGGTGTAGAGTATCATCAGCAAACAGCTTTGTGCATTTTGCATGCCATAGAATACTAGAAAATTCTTTTCCTTTTTCTAGTGACACTTTTTCCCCATGATCTATAAACCTGTTGCCTAAGTTGTCAACTCTACAAGGTACAGAGAGGTCCAGAAAAACTTTAAAAAATGATTTAAATCATTTTTGGTTATTACTTTTTTTTTTCAAATCAAGGCGTGAAAACTAAGACTTTCTAGAGCTAGAAGCACATGCTAGGTCCTTGTAGAATGCTAGAGATAAAATGTTCTAGGATGCAAATTGATTTAAGTCATTACAAGATCAGAGGATAATTGAGTCTTTTGTCTGTCACTGGTACATGGTGGGATGTCCTATAATTTGAATATTGTAGTGTGTCTGCATGTATTTTTGTGATCTATTTATTATCTATATGTGTGTGTATACCTTATGGGGTAGGTGGTCAGTAAAACTACATGGAATATATGGTTTGAAGAGTTGGCCCTGAATTTTCTTTCCTTTGACTTATGTGGAAAATTATGGCACTTAGTTTGCTTTGTGAGCGTTTCTTTAATGTCAACTGTATCTTTATTAAAAACCTTTTTGGCGTGACTGAGTGGTATTTCTTTTAGATAAGAGAAAGAGAAGAACGACGCAGACGAGAGAGAGAGGAAAAGCAACAGTATGAAGCGAAGTTAGAAGCTGAAATGAGAAGTTACAATCCCTGGGGAAAAGGTGGTGGTGGTGCTCCTCTCAGAGATACAAAAGGAAATCTGATAAGTACGTTTGAAGATGTGGGTTTTATTTGGAAGATAGGTACCATTCTCACCTCTTTGTTATGAGCTCTGTTTGGCCAAACTTTTTATTTTTGTATCACACCATTGGTACATGTAGCACTTAAGAGGTAAGTGAAAATATATAGCTGGTGTCCCAAGAAACTTGTAGCCTAAGAATCTGTAATACCAATTTGTTTGGGGCATTTTCAAGCAATATCATTTCTAAGCTTGGATCTTCTACCTGGGAGACTTTAACTAGGAACAAAACTGAATGAATCTACAAAAGAGATGGAATAATATTTGAGTTTTACTCTTGTTAGCACCCTGACAAATTGCCATACAGATATTAACTAGGCAGTGATATCAGTATTCAGCATTTATTTGCTCTTTGCTTTTTTCCTTTGAAGTGCCATGTGTTTGTTAGCTAACTAATTCCCAGAACACTTTGTGCATTCCCAGAACACTTTGTGCAAAAGATAGATGTGTCCAACAGGGATGTATCTGATGCATGGGAAATGATTTATCCAAGGTGACATGGCAAGTCAGTAACAGCTCTGGGATAACGTTGAAATTCGTGGCTTTCTCTTCTGAGTACAGTCCTCTATATCAGCTGTTTGGTTCTGGTTGTAATCCTTACTCTTGAATTCTTGCATTTGAATTCATGTTACAACAACAAAAAATACAGAAATTTTCAAAGTGTGTATATTCTCATTATTGAATCAAAGCTTAGTACTTGATATCAAACTGTAGTGCTGCTGAATTTAGAATCAGACTAGTTTCTCTAGAAATTAAAACTAACATTTTCAAAACTTGTCTATAAAACAGATTTAGAAATGTGCATGGTCTGGGTTTGTGTGTTCTATATGTACAGTAAATGGCTGCTTTTGAAAAAGGGTTATAATTTAAAGGTTTGGGAATGTGTGTGTTGAAGTACTCAGATTTAAAACTTTTCAGTGACTCTCTTACGCAGTGTCCCTAATATTCATTCTAACTGAGCTATATTTCTTTTCCATTGCATATTAATTGCATTCTCACAGTAGATTGTAGTCTTCCATTTTATTTTGGCAGTTTTTTCACTTTTCCTAGGTTTAAATTATTTGTTCTCAAAATAGTTGCTACAGTGGAAAGGATTATGAAGTCATTGATTCGTGAAGAATCTTTATATACTTTGAGATTATGTTCAGGTTTCTTAAATAGTCTAAATTTTTAATTTTAATTTAAGCATCCTTCCTTACAACTTGCTTTAAAAAAATTGCTCTTACCATATTTATTTAAATAGAAGACAAGATTTCCATCCCCTCCCTTCACCCCCCCTTCCTTCCCGCCAAACTGGCATGAGGGGAAAAAGTCCCTCATTTTATTGCATACAACAAAATCTCACTAAATATTGTCACAACCCAGTGATTTTAGTGCCTCGGCATGATGGAATTTTCCTGCCACATGAGAGTCTCTTGCATAGCAAAAGTTTTCTGCTGCAACAGAAAACCCCGGTGCAAGAGA